GATCAAGACCAAATATATACAAGAAAAATATTTTGGTTTTCTGAATTGCCAAATATATATTTTTATTACTCTATTAATCAGTCAACCTTCACAGATAAATTAGCTACCATTTAGCATTATTGTGAAAGTCTTAACTGACAAAGCTAAATGAAAAATAAAAATAAGAAGTATAAATATATTCAAGGTAATGACAAAACTATCATTTCCAATTGATACAAAAATACAAGAGAATGAACTTACAAGTTATCAGATAATACAGAAATATTTATATGCAAAATGGCCACTTATACCAAAGTCAATAAATTTCTTAAATATAAGAAATAACTAGCTGTGGCTACTTTCATAGTGCTGTGATTTAACCCCTTGTGGCACCAGGGAGGCCCCCAATATTCAGTTTTATTTTTCAGCTATCCATAGCCACTGCAGCATGAATTCAATTGCTGGCAGGGAGGTGAGTAACATGACATAGCAGACCTCTCCTCTCTCATCTGCTGCTCCCCTCAGCAGTGTATTTCAGTCAATCTGCTAGTTCTGCTATGCACTCTGTCTCTGGTGAATCCTCTCACCCTCCCTCACCTGGCCTGTACCCCAGTTCTTGTATATATAAATAAATGAATCTTAAAACAATATTTTGATTGGGCATCATAAAAAAAACACACCTCTGCTATTCCATTTAAGAGAATGAATGACAAATCAGAGTGACAAAATACCCACAATGCATATTTCTGACAAAAGACTTTTGTCCAAAACATATAATATTTACAACTAAAGTAAGAAACCAAATTAAAAACAAGTGGGCAAAAATACTTGAACACGGCCTTCCCTGGTGGCACAGCGGGTTAAAGCACAGCACCAAGAAGCTAAAGCTACTTCCACATGAGTTCGATCCCTGCCTGCCCGGAGGTGATCCACATAGTGTGGCAGACCTCTCCTGTCTTCCCGCTGCCCCCCTCAGCAGTGTACTTCATCAGTCTGCCTTTTCTGCTCTCCACTCTGTCTCTGGTGAATCCTCTCACAGCCCCTGCACCTCTGGCCTGTACCCCAGTTCTGTATGCACAAATAAATAAATTTAAAAAAATACTTGAACACTTCACAAAAGAAGATATATGAATTGCCAATAAAATGAAAAGGTGCTCAAATCATTAGTTATCAGGAAAATCATTAGCAGCCATGATATATCACTATATACCCACTTGAATTGCTAAAATTAAGAGTGACAATACTGGTGCAGCAGACCACTCTGTCTTACCTGCTGCTGCTTCTCTTAGTGTATTTCAGTAAACTCAACTTTTCTATTCTCAAATAAAATAAAATAAAATAGACTGACAATCCTAAGTGATGGTTAAGATTTGGAATCACAAGGACTCACACATTAGAAGATAAAATGGTATATTGACTGTGATATATTATTTGGTATATTTTTATAATTTGGTAGTTTTTCATAATGTTAAATGTACAAAATAAAACATATACCTCTCAATGACTGAACAATTTCACTCCTAGGTATTCCTCAAGGTAAATGAAAATATATGTCCATAAAAAGGCTTACATACAAATATAGCAACTTTACCCATAATGGCCCTAAATGGGAAACAAATTATCCTTGCAATTTAATATACTAAACCATCAAAAGGGATAAACTCAGGCTCATCAGCATGAATATATCTCAGAAATATGCGAAACAAAATGAGTGGAAATGAAAGAGTACATTTTATATAAGTCTATTTATATGATATTCTAGAAAGGCATAATCTTTAGTGATAGACAGCAGAATAGTGGTTGTCAGGAGCTAAGGAGTGACTGCAAAAGGTTATGAGAAAACTACCGAGGGAGATGGAAATGTATGTCTTGATTGTGGTAGTAATTACATGGGTTCTTATGTTTATCAAAAGGCATCAAACTATAAGCTTAAAATTAGTTTATTTAATGACATAAATTTTACCTCTAAACTTAAAGAGTTGAAACTTGTATCCACAAAATAATCTGCAATTGGGTATTTATAGAAGTTTATTTATTCTTAATACTGTTCAAATTAGGCAGCTCTCTTGCCCACCTGTGACTAAGGGGGTATTTCTTTTCACAAATCATTCCCCTTGCAAAACAGCAGAGGCAGCTCTCCTGCTCACCTGAGACTATGCAGGTGTCTCTGCTCCCCCCTCTGTCTTTGGTGAATCTTCTCGCTGCCCCTGCACCTCTGGCCTGTACCCCAGTTCCATATGCGTAAATAAATAAATCTTAAAAAAAAAAAAAAGATGTATTCAGCTGGCAGTAATTGCCTGAGGTAACAACTTTGGATTTCTGAAGTCTAGTCAAATACTTGCAAGATCCAGGGAAGAGCCAGGAGATAGATGTGAACAATATCAAACCGAATTGACCTGGTTGACATTTATAGATAACTCCACAAGAAAACAGCAAATCACACATTCTTTTCAAGTGCACAGTCAAGTATTTACCCGGATAGACCAAATTCTAGGTCACAAAACATAAATAATAAATTATCGAAAAAGAATGTTATTAAATCACATATTAATGACAGAAAGTTCCCTGGCAATCCTCAAATGTTTAAAAACCAAATAATCCACTTCTAAATAACCTACGGGTTTAAGAAGAAATCAAAAGGGAGATTAGGAAATGATATGAGCTGAATGAAAATGAAAACAAAACCACAACATATTAATTTATGGGATTCTGTTAGAGCAATAGTTAGGGGGTAATTTTTTTGAGGGATAATTTAAAAATATTAAAAAACTATTAGAATAGAAGAAAGGCCTCAAAACAATGACTTCAGCAAAAAAGAAGAGAAAATAAAAAACAAAGTAGAACAAAAATAACAAAGGTCAAGGAGACTTCCATGGTGGCGCAACTGGTTAAAGAGGAACACTATAAAGCTATCTGCAGCCACTACAGCAGGAGTTCAATCCCCAGCCAGGGAGGTGACCCATGTGGCACAGCAGACCTCTCCTGACCTGTCCCATGCTCCCCTCAACAGTGTATTTCAGTTAACCTGAAATACAGTTCTGCTCCCCACTCTGTCTCTGGTGAATCCTCTCACTCCCTTCACATCTGACCTGTACCTGTCGGGGACTCTTTGTCCCCAACCACGGATTACTTGGGGGCAGAACAGGCAGGGCCTCAAGGTGGGAGCAGCGTTGGCGAGCGGAGATTCCTAGAAAAAGGGGAAAAGGGGGCGCGAGCAAAACATGGGAATCAGGAGTTGGATGCAAGTCTTCCTGCTCTGGCTTCAGCAGAGGTTTATTTTATACATTTCAAGCAAGCAGTGGGATGACATTAGCATATGAATTGGGCTGAGAGATCACTATCATCTTTTTCTAAGAACAGTCTGTGGTAGTATTGACTTTTAGTTGAGATTATAACATTTAAAAAATCAGTCTATCAAGGGTAAATTAGGTACATAGATTTACAAAGTTTAAGGCTAATATTACTATATTTACCACAGTGAATATTAACCAAAATAAAGTCCCTTAAACCTTATCTACTACTTAACGGCTTTTATTTATATTGAGACATCCTAAGGGGTAAAGTAAAGTGAGGGCAGGAAGAGGAAATTTCTTGTAAATCAAATTATAGTAAAGTTCTTTGAAACCTTGTTAGAAAGTTTAAGTGAATTTCCTGAAGTCAACAAGGTAGAAAACCTGACTAGCTCTGAATAGGCGACTTGGGTGAATTTCCATATCTAAAGACTAGATAGTAGAAAGTTTGAGTGATTCTTTAGAAACTGAATAGAAGGTTAGGTGAGATAGTTGAGAGATGAGATTTGGGTTTTCCTCCTTCCGGGCAGTAAAAGAGACTTTGCAATAACAGCCAATTGCTTTTATTAGTCAGCCAGTTGTTAAGTCACTTTTGATTTCAAGAGGATTTACTCACCCTGGTGCAGTGGTTGCTTGTCTGGGTCAGGTAGGGCCTTATAAGGCTAAGGCAATCCAATTGTAAACTGAGGGTTGCTCGGAATATTTTGATATTATGATTAAACAAAAAAGGGAGGTCATAACATAAGTTAGTATGGAAAGCTTGATTTTTCAGAGCATTTCCCCTCCATCCATATGGTGTTTGTCGACATAGGTTGCATAGCTTGTGTCATGTATCCCAGTTCTTGTATACATAAATGAGTAAATCTTTAAAAAAAAATAACAAAGGTCAAAGTGGAAATCATGAAATAGAAAACAAAACAGTAGAGAAAATCAACAAAACTAGATCCTTATATAGCCAACATTCGATGCTGCCTCATTCACATTAGTCAAAATTTGGAAACAATTCAGTTGTCCATTAATTGATAAAAGATAAGAATATTCAAATTCGTGGAGATAGAGTTTGTTTTCTAAGGGGGTTTGGGAAGGGGACAATGAAGAGTTATTGCTTAATAAGTCCACAACATTATCTATTTGAGGTAATGGAAAAGTTTTGGAAATATATAGATATTGGTGGCTGAACATTGTGAATGTACTTAATGCCCCTGAACTGTATAGTTAAAATGGCGAGTTTTGTTATATATATTTACCACAATTAAAAAAATTACTGTAGCATACCAAAACTCATTGAATTATATGACTTAAATGGGTGAATTGTATTGTATGTGAATCTCAGTAATCTGATTTTTAAAAGAATATATTTTACCATACCATTTATGTAAAACTCTAGAGAATGCAAACTAATATATGGTGGCACAGCAACCCTAATTAGTTCACATCCTAATTTTCTTTTATCGCCTCCATTTTTCTAACACTACAAGTTTCTCTACAGCCTCATTATGTTTATTTAGGTCCTACTGGGGAAAATGGCAGTCCAGAGATTTGCATCCCCAAACCAGTAAATAAAAGGGGATCTGGATGAAGTCATTGTCGCTTACCGGAAGGTGTAGTTTAGAGCCTGTGACATGCGGACTGAGAGGCGGACCCTAAAACTCCATTTCCCAGAAGGCTTGTGGACTGAATGGGGACTGCGTCCAACGGGGTGGGACTGGGTCACGCCCGGATGTGGCGCCAAACCAGCCGAGCTTGCTAAGCCCAACGAGAGACGCCCCGGAGGCTCTGCCAGCTGCGGTTGAACCGCGCGGGATAACTAGCGCTTTGCCCGGTAATAATTTGTTTTTTTGAGAAACCCTCCCCCAGGCGAGCCCCCCCGCCCCCCCTTTTTAGGCGTCTTCCCATTCCCAGGATGGTTGCCTTATGACCACCACTTAGATAGAAGGGATTTGAGGGTGGGATGAGGTGTGCGTGTATGGAGGTCCAGCAGCTCTTCTGTTTGTGAATACAGTGCCGGTTGCCGGTACTTTCTCTGTCCCAGTCCCAGCCTATACGGGACCCCAGAACCATTAGCCCTTGGAGAGAAGGATGCGAGGGAAGTGCCCAGTCTGCTTGTGGTGGCTACTGATGGGCCAGCAGGATACTGTCCCCTCGGTGGGGCTCGTACAGCGTTCACATGGAGGCTTTAGCCCCTAAGTGTCCTGAGGTCATTTTTCATTAGACTCAAAGTCAGCCTTCAGTGTGAAAAGGCTCCCCCCTATTAAGTAGATAAGGAAGTTCAGAAAGTAGTCAATAAAAATGGGGGACATCTGCTGAACTGTTTTGACTTCAGAAAGTTACTGAGTTCCAGTCTAACAGACTCAGACTTGAGAAAAGGGTAAAACCTGAGGTGAGTCTCGGAAACAGTAGTACTTTTGTAACAGGGTGGTCCCTAGGAAAAGGTTAAGTTCCAGGTTCCCTGCCCCACCTGGAAGTAGGGTGGAGCTGAACAGTGAAAAAGGAGAGAAGAAAACAAGGAATGTGGATGGAGAACAAGGACACCTGAGGACCACATGGAGCAGCAAGCAGGTGATGAAGAAACCATGCTTGTTTCCTGACCCTGGACTGGCTAAGGCAGATGTGGGTGAGATACCTGTAGGGAGGTGACTGTAGCAATGTTTATATTGATTTTGATTTTGCTCTTTTCCTCCCAGATTTGTCTGGCCATTTCTGACCCTTTTCCATGGGTCCTGGCCAGAAGGTGCTTTAGTCTTGTGGCGGGCTTTCAGGACTTGCTTTGGACCAATCCCTTTTGGGTTGACTTTTGCCCACGAGGGGATGGGTAGCTTCAGGTGTTTGATTTAGATATTACGTTCTTTGTCTTCTGTATTGTATACTCACTATATTAAAGTCAGTGGGGCACCACCGAAGCCCCAAACCTGCCTGCTGTAAGTGGGTTCTGCCATCTGCTGCATCAAGACAAAACATACAAAACTTTTTTAAAAAAGATTTATTTATTTATTCATATAGAACTGGGGTACAGGCCAGAGATACAGAGGGTGAGAGAATTTACCAGAGACAGAGAGGGGAGCAGAACAGGCTAATCAACGAAATACACTGCTGAGGGGAGCAGCGGGCTGGTCAGGAGAGGTCTGCCGCGCCATGTGGATCTCCTCCGCGCCATGTGGATCTCCTCCGGGGCAGGGGGCAGACCTGGATCGAACTCATGCGGAAGTGGCTTAAGCTTCTTAGTGCTGTGCTTTAACCCCCTGCGCCACCAGGGAGGGCCCTGTAAAGGGAATTTAATACAGTGAGTATACAATACAGAAGACAAAGAATGTAATGTCTAAATCAAACATCTGAAGCTACCCATCCCCTCGTGGGCAAAAGTCAACCCAAAAGGGATTGGCCCAAAGCAAGGCCTGAAAACCTGCCACTAGACTAAATCACCTTTTGGCGGGGACCCATGGAAAAGGGTCAGAAATGGCCAGACAAATCTGGGAGGAAAAGAGCAAAATCAAAATCAGTATAAACACTGCCACAGTCACCTCCCTACAGGTATCTCACCCACATCTGTCTTAGCCAGTCCAGGGTCAGGAAACAAGCATGGTTTCTTCATCACATTGCTGCTCCATGTGGTGTCCTCAGGTCTCCTTGTTCTCCATCCACATTCCTTGTTTTCTTCTCTTCTCTCCTTTTTCACTGTTCAGCTCCACCCTCCTTCTGGGTGGGGCAGGGAACCTGGAACTTAACCTTTTCCTAGGGACCACCCTGTTACACTTTGAGCTGCCTCCTGTCTTCATTGTTATTGGGTCTTTAATATTGTGCTTCCAAGGTAGGAGAAAATTGACCATTGTGCAGACTGTACATGTGAAAGATGATTGGTCAGAGGAGATTGGGAGATTTAGAAGAAACGAAATCCAAGGTTAAGAATGAATAACTTGGAAGAGAGCCTTTTTTGAAAGATTTATTTTTATTTAAACATACAAGAACTAAGCCCTTCTTGGTTGCATAACATGTTAGGGTGCAGTACTGTAAGCTGGCCACAGGTGCTTTAGTGGGTGTTGGATCCCCAGCCACAAAGGTGATCCACATAGTGCAGCATACCTCTCCTATCTTGCCTTCTGCTCCCCTCAGCAATGTACTTCCTCCATCTGCCATTTCTGCTTCCCACTCAGTCTCTGGTAAATCCTCTCACTGCCCCTGCACCTCCTGGCTTATACCCCAGTTCTGTATGCATAAATAAAAAAATCTTAAAAAAAAAACGATACAAGAACTAGAGTGTAGACCAGAGGTTTGGGGAGTGAGAGGATTCACCAGAGACAGTGGGGAGCAGAACAGGTGGATCTAATGAAATACATAGCTGAGGGGAGCAGTGGGTGAGACAGGAGAGGTCTGTGCCATGTAGGTCAGCTTCCTGGCTGGGGATTGAACTATTGGCCTCAATGGCTGGTGATAGCTTGATAGTGCTAAGACTTTAACCCTTGGGCCACCAGACAAACCCAGGAAGGAGCATTCTGAGGTGCTGACCTCTGTAGCTCTGGGCCTCTTCCAGTTTCTAACAGAGAGGTGTGATCAATGCTGAGAGTAGAAAATCTGGGATGGGGCATCATAGAAGGAAAAACTGGAGGTGTGGTAAAAATGATGACCATAGTTGTTAAAGTAGCTATGGCTGTAGAAAAAGCAGATTGCTATAGAAAGTGTCCTGAGGCCCAGAGACATGGATATGGAGTTTGAGGACCATTATAGAGAATTATCACTCCTTATACCCCCTAAAAGTCATTAACTGAACAATAGATAACAATTCCACAAAGGAATGAACCCTTCCCAAAAGAACATTATATTTGTACAGTCTCTGCACTGCACAAGACCCTCTTCTGGCCCACCTGTCTGTGTCTTCTCTTTGTTTACTAATAAACCCATCCTTTTAATATGTAACCCTCTCCTGCCTGTGTCTGTGCAAATGTCTTCATCCTCTGGTTAAACTTGTCTTGGGCTACTGAAAGGGGAATTCTGCTGAAACTTTCCTCAGAGGTAACTCACCAAGAGCCCCATTCACTGAACCCAACATATCATCAAAACGACATCAGACACACATCAAAGATCTCTAAACTCCTTTGATAGGTACCTCAGCGCTACTGAGAGGCTGAAATAGGATATGTCAAAGTACTTTGCACAATTCCTGTAACAGGCTCTCAATTCTTAGTTTCTTTTTGCTTCCCACATAATCTATTTTCTCTGAGATACGCATTTTTTATTCCTTTTTATATAAATCCTGCCTTTGCCATGAGGCTGCAAGTTTCTAACATTCTTTTTTGTTTTTACTCTTTGAATCCCTCCTAGCAGTGCACTGCTCATAGTGGTACCTGAGAGATCATGGACAGTAGTGGTGCTGAGGGGTGGGGGAGCTGTGGGTGATCCTAATAGTATCATGCTACATCCTTAAGCTGACATAAACACTCCTTTCTCATACAGGTGATGAACAGCCTAGAATATTTGCCTTTCTCTTGTAATTCCTGTCCTCCCAGAGCCTCCCCCCCCTTTTTTTAATATACACAAGAACTGGGGTGTAGGCCAGAGGTACAGGAAGATGAGAAGATTCACCAGAGACAGAGTAGGGAACAGAAGACACAAATAGACTGAAATACACTGCTGAGGGGAGCAGCGGGTGAGACAGGAGAGATCTGCCACACCATGTGGGTCAGTTTCCTGGTGGGGATCAACTCATGCTGCAGTGGCTGGTTTAACAGCTTCAAGATGCTGGGCCTTAACACCTTGCACCACCAAGTAGGCCTCTTCCAATCTTTTTAAAAAGTATAATTTTAGGGCCCTTCCTGGTAGCACATGGGTTAGGACACCGCACTGCAAGCTAGCCGCAGCTGCTTCAGCGCAAGTTCGATCCCTGACCCTGGAGGTGACCCACATGGCTTGGCAGACCTCTCCTGACCAACCCACTGCTCCCCTCAGCCGTGTACTTCCTTGATCTGCATGTTCTGCTCCCCACCCTGTCTCTGATGAATCCTCTCACTGCCCCAGCACCTCTGGCTTGTACCCCCAGTTCTGTATGCATAAATAAATAAATCTTAAAAAAAATCATGAGAACTTTAAAAATATTATTTTAATTTTTAGTATTTAAAAACCATATATTCAAATTGTTGTGCAACAAATCTCTAGAATATTTTCATCTTGCAAAACCGAAACTCCATTAAACAACTCTCTACTTCCTTCTCCCCCAGACCCTGGCCACCACTATTGTACTTTCTATTTCTATGAGTATGACCATTATAGCTACCTCATATAAGTGGAGTCATGTAGTACATCTTGTGCCTGGCTACTTTCATTTAACAGAAAGATCTCTATGTTCATCCATGCCATAGCATATGAAAAAGCTTAATCATAGCTATTTCTCTCAAATACATGCACGTGTATCTGTCTACATTTTCTTTATCCATCCATTGGTAAACATTTGATGGACATTTAGCCACTTCTTGGCTATTGTGAATTACAGCATAGTAAATATGGGTGTGCAAATACACCTTCAAGATCCTGTTTTCAATTCTTTTTGATTATTTATTTAAGATCTTATTTATTTATGCATGCAAGAACTGGGGTAAGGCCAGAGGTGGTGGTGGGGTGAGAGGATTTACCAGAGATAGAGATGGGAACAGAATAGGTGGATAGACTGAAATACACTGCTGAGGGGAGCAGTGGGTGGGACAGGAGAGGCTTTCCATGGCACCTGGGTCACCTCTCTGGCCAGGGGATTTGAACTTGTGCTGCAGTGGCTGTGGAAAGCTTCATACTGCTATGCTTTAAATCCATTGTGACACCAGGGAGGGCCCTCTTTTTGAT